TGCTTTGTTAAAATAAAATAAATTAAAATAAAGTTAGTCTTCCAACCGAATGATAACACATGATACGACACGTGGTACCAATGACTGTGGCATCATTTGAGTGAAGGATTAATTTTTTTTAATTTATTAAAAATATGACTATATTGAGAGAATATGTAAATATCATGAACCAAATGTGTGATTATACCAAAATATTTAATGACAGTTAACTCGTGGTGGCCACATCTTAATTAAATAAGAACGAAGATGATCATATCTTATGTATTTTGAAATCAGTGACCGAAATTAGATAAAAACACAAACATAAGTGGTCATCCATATAGTTAACACATTATATAATTATAAAATAATCATAATAAAAATACAGATAAAGACTTTATGGTATAATTTTACTTCCTAGTTGTCCTAAATCAGTAATGTTGTCGCTTATTTTTATTTAGTCCTCAAACTCTTCAAATTACGTCAATGATACCATTTGATCGATGAAAATCGTTATAGACTTTTATAATAAAAACGGCTATTAAGGCCATACAAATATTTATTTTTCCACCATTAAGGCTACACGTTAAGATTCAATTACGCCTACCCCTTTTAATCTTTTATGCATTCAAACCATCAATTTTACCCATTTGGTCACAATTTTACGCTTCTAAGAATATATAATTTATATCACTCAAGGATACTTCAATCATTTAATGAGTTGATATTACTTATTAACCCCATTTAATCTTATTACGCCATTATCCATCGCCCTCGTGTGTTTTAAGGGATAAAATAACTTTTTCCTCACCTTTAGTATTGATATTAGGGACGGTCATGGGTCAGGTTGGGTCGGATTTTTGGTCCACCGATCGACCCGAGAACAAAGGAGTTTCCACACGAGACCCGACCCGAGAACAAAGGAGTTTCCACACGAGACCCGACCCGACCAGAATATATGACATAGAAACCCGATCCGACCCGAAATAATAAAAAAATATTTTTATTCAATAAAAACAGTGACTTAATTGAAAAAAAAATTATATATAGAGGGATATTATTGTAATTATCCCTAAACATATAGGATAAAATTATACATTTTTCCGGTCGGGTCGGATTTTTTTCACCCTAAACCCGAACCTAATTTTTTTTAGAAAAACCCGACCCGATCGGGTCGGAACCCGTCGGGTTCGGGTTGAGCGCCCATCCCTAATTGATATCATGCATGGGGCATCGATATTAAATCTTATGATATCGATATTTAGGTAGTAATAATATCAAATTGGCACACTAGAATATATCATTCGATTTTGGTATCGATACTCATAGTTTTATATGGATAGAAAGGATCAGTATCAATACTCATAAAATGAGTATAAATATCTTAAAAAATGTTTTTACCCAATTTTTAACTACAATATCATATGATATCAATACCTGAAGAATAATATCGAAATCAACGATAAAGAATATCACTTTAAACTCGAAATTCACCCCCAAAACCTCTCTACAAATTACATTTAAAGCCGCACTCCACTTGTAAAGGTTATCGGGGGTACATAGGGGTTATCTAGCATCCAATTAAACTCATCCTAAAAGCTTATCATCAATTGAGCCATCAAACTTTACAAATTGTATTGGTGATGTACATCTAATTCAATACGACATAAAGTCGACTTATTAGAATGCCACACGAAACTACCGGAATAGTTAACCTAAATTTTTTCTTTTAATTTTTCATTAAAAAGATTATTTAAAACCATTTCGAATAAAATGATTCAACCATAATTGTATAAAATAAGTTTACATGGGGGAGCTCCCAAAATAAGTATATCAAAATAATACAACCCAACATTTCAAAATAAAGTTACGACTCAAATATAAAAAGGGTTTATAAATGATACATTCCCTCTAAAAAATATAACTCAAGATGTACTCTGCTTCACACATGGTTTGGGATGTCGGTTGTGCGATAAGCTCCTCGAAAGCTCCTCCTAGATACCTGCACACGAAAACAAATTTCGAATGCTGAGCTCACTAGCACAGTGCTACGCTAACAACTAAATCATACTAAAAGTGTTTATCAAATGCTCATGCTATCAAGTGTAATGCAAATAGTGAGTATTATACTTCACTCTTTACTCTAGAGTATACATCATGGATGGTGCAGCTGAGAGTTCTACATCTCGGAGCTCACACACCCCTCTAATCTACCTAGGATGAGGTCTGAAATCTCTACATCGGACATAACACCCTCGACTAACCCACCCCTCGCGAGTGTCGGGCCTCGTGCCCTAGTTAGTCATTTAAAAGTGCCTGGTGCACTACCTAGGGATATCCGGACAAATTTTATTTTCTCGAAACACCAATATCATTAACTAAAGTAACTCGGTTGTCCTTATCATTTCCCAAGCCTCAACACTACTAGTTTTATGTCACCCTAATTAATCCCGTTTTTACTATATTCGATTATTATTCTTGTTGCTCCATCTAGATAGATATTGATTATGATTTCCTCCAATCTTGGATTTTCCTCCAACTAGATAGATATTGATTATTATTTTTTTGTTGCCCTTCCGGTTCTAAGACCTTGTCTTGACTAATTCGGCCTCCCAATTCCTGATCGTTTCTCGAGCCTCGGCACTCTCTAGCCACGCTGGCTGAAGTATCAATTTTGGATCGAGGAAGCTCCTACTCGCGTTTTTCTTCGGGTAACGGAGGATCGTCGGTGGTTGCTTTTCCCTTAGCTGATGGGCTGTGGTTTCACGGTCTATGTTAACATGATCAATTTGGGTGTTACTTTGTGATTTCCTTGCTGCTCGTTCGTTGCTTTCTGGGTTTTCTTTGCGAGGGAATGAAAGGTCAGCGTCTTTGTGGTGATTGTTTATTTTTTGCTTTCTTAGGACCTGTTTTTAGTCGTTTAATGTTTTCTTTATTAGGCTTGGAATTTCAAGGAGTTTCTGCTCGCTCCATTTGGCTTACTGTTTCTTTTGGTTTTTTATAAGATTTTCCGTCGACGTTTCACAGTAAAAAAAAAGGGTAAAATTTATAGTGAGTTTAACGAGCAACAAATCGAGTAAAATTTTAACGATTAACGAGTCGAATAACAAATTTTTTTAACCGACTCGCTCAATACATATCCCTAATTATTGAATATATCTATTTATGATATTTTAGATTAAGACATGTGAATATCGACTCTCTTGAAATACTTAAAAAAAAGGTAAACTATTGCCTGAGGGACGAAATAATAATATGAGTGAAAGCCGAAATGTTAAAAAAAAAACCCATCAAGTATCAACAAAATTTAAGCAGTTATATAAAACTCCAGTTATTTTACGAGTTATATAAAGCTCCAGCTATTTGACAAGTTATGGTAAGGCTAAACTACATGTTTAGTATCTAAATTATGACTTTCCTTCTATTTTGATATTCAAATTTATCTTTTTATTCAAAATCATAGTTGGTTTTAATTTTATATCCCGTCGTTAAAAATTAACAAAAATATTGATTTATAAATTTTTTAATTTTATTTTAATAATGACATGACATTATCTTATAATGACACGTCAATATCACAGTTAAGCTTTTAAAGACGGGATATCAAAATGCAACATAAACTAAATGTTAGGCATGATATTGAAAAAAATAAAAATTGAATATTAAAATAGAATAAAAGTAATAATTTATATATTAAGCATGTAGTTTACTTAAAAAATAATTTGATAATCAAAATAAAAAAAATAAATTAAAGACTACTTATATAGTTTACCCAAACAAGAGTGCATATAGGTAGTAGGGTGTGCAGAAAGATCTGATCCGATCGATCCAATCCATTGATCCGGTCATTCGATCTGAAAATTTAGATATATGATCATTTTTTGATTTTCGGATAATACAAATCGAATATCCAAAAAAATTCGGGTAATCAGATTGTGTAAATTTCAATTTTAAATTATTCAAAAAATCGAAAAAAACTGAGTTTTTAGATTTTATATACTCTTTAGCCCAATAAATGAGTAAACTACTAACCCGTTAAAGCTCTAACTCAATAAAAATTAAGATATTTAATTATTTATTGTGTGTGGGTAATTAAATATAGTAGAAGTATCGAATAATTTATATTAAATTATGAAATTTAAAATTAAAATTATGTTTTATCAAATTAAATTTTACATTCATATTAAGATATTATGATATCTGGTCCGAAAATTATGATATCATTCTTTTGGATCGGATATGAATCACTATTTTAAGTATCTGAAATTTTCGAATATTTGAATTTTTTGGATTTGATTAAATCCGATATCCGAATTTGTACACTCCTAATAAGAAGATACTTTTTGGGCCGGAAAAACGAGCAACTTTGTTGCTATAAAAGTCAGTTCATTCACTTTGCCAATACAAATATTCCATCAAATGATCATCAGAATCTCCCGCACTTGATGTCAACCCATATTCTTTCTTCCAACAATATCTCACAATTTAGAGTTAATTGCGTCATACATCCTCAAACTATAACTTTCATTTTAAATTAGTTTCTAAACTTTTGAATATTATCTTCCCCAAATCCATCCAAACATGTGATTTGTTTCAACCATAGTTTAACCTAAATTTTGTTTTTTCCACAAAACATATAATAATATAACTTGTCTAACGATTTTACTAACAAGAGACATGATTAGTATATATGTATAGTTTGAGATGAAATCAGGATGTTCGAAAAGTTCGAGGACCAGTCTAGAATGAAGGTCGTAGTTTGGGGATGAAAATGAAATGTAAAAGTTTAAGGACTAATTTAGAATGATAGTCATAGTTTAGGATAAAATCAGAATATTTAAAAGTTTAGCGACCAATATAGAATGAGGGTCATACTTTGAGGACTTGCATCAAAGTATTTTTGTGAATCAATAAAATAACCGGAAAATGAAACACCATAACAACTGGAGCTGTACATTTACACATCTACAGTAGGTTAAACGACCGGTTTTCTTTGCTTTAATGTATAGCAAGATAGATACATGAAATGGCAGTGATACAAAGGCGCAGTTTTATGCGATTTTTGAAGCAAAGAAGATGGAAAGTTCTGTGGGAAATCAATCCCCACCTGCTTCTTTCTTCTCCATCTGCAAAGAATTTCTGGTGAAAATTTCGGTTTTTTCCCTTCTACTGCTTACCTTCAGGGACTTCTTTTATGGTCATGTCTACAATTTCGGCGGTGTCAAAACCTCCGTCGTCCGTCGCGATGGTTGATCGAGAGGCGAGTCCAGACTCAGCTTGTATTTCCTTGAACATTGCCATCACTTGAATCATTGTGGGTCGTCTCAAATGTCGGTCGTCCAAGCACGCACAGGCTACCTTCAAGTGTTGTAGAAGCTCAATCTCGAGGTTGGGGTCTTCTTTCATCAGCTCTGGATCGAAGACATGAGTTATTTTGAGTCTGGCATGCTGTTTCACCCACCCCACAAGGTTGTTATCTCCGAAATCAGATGAATCTGTAGGCCTTTTACCCGTTAGCAACTCGAGCAAGAATACACCGTAACTGTAAACATCGCCCTTCGTGGAACATCGAAAGCTCTGGTAGTATTCAGGAGGAACATAACCAGGAGTACCCGCTAATGTGCTGACACTCAAATGCGTATCCATTGCACTCATAAGCCTTGCCATCCCGAAATCAGAAACTCTGGCTTCCAAGTTCTCATCGAGCAGGACGTTGCTCGATTTCATGTCCCTGTGAATTATATGAGGAATGCAACTGTGGTGAAGAAATGCCAGCCCTCTTGCAGCTCCAATGGCTATCTTTCTCCTTGCTGCCCAATTCAGTTTGATCCCAGCTTTCTTTTGGCCGTGTAAAACATCCTCTAAGCTGCCATACTTCATGAACTCGTAAACTAGAAGCCGTTCTTCGCCCACCTTACAGTAACCCAAGAGTGGAACGAGGTTGCGGTGCTTGATCTTCCCAATGGTTTCCATTTCGGCCGTGAATTCTCGATCACCTTGTCCACTGATATGTATCAGTTTCTTGATAGCAACGACACTCCCGTCTTTCAGTTGGGCCTTGTAAACATCACCGAAACCACCAGAGCCGATAAGGCTGTCGTTATGGAAGCCATTAGTGGCTTCAAGAAGATCAGCAAAGGTGAGTTTCCAAAGGGGCTTTTCAAATGTGGTCAGGTTGATGCTCAATGCTTCCTGTGCACTGGTTAGATTCCAGCTGGCATTCGCGGTGCCGGAGTGGGAATGATTGTCCGTATAAACATCAAGAGCAGAATCCTGTTTCTTCCTCCTTTTCTTGGTCTCTACAATAACTATGAACACACCAAAGATGCAGAAAATAGAGAACAACAATCCCATTGCCACACTCCCAGCAAGAGAAGCTTGTCTGCGATGAGACTTCCGATGCTCAGAACTCGAAGCAGCCGCTGGATTCTCACAGGGGCGAAGCGGGACCCCACATAGACCTGCATTATTATCGAAATCACTAGCCGGAAACGTTTCCATCTGGCCAGTTTCCGGGATCATGCCAGAGAGAAGGTTGTTTGACAGATTAATCTCACTCAGCAAGGTGATGCCAGTCATGGACTGTGGAATCGACCCTTCCAACCTGTTGTAGGAAAGATCAAGAATGCCAAGGCCCTTTAGGTTCCCAATCTCTTGTGGGATGGTTCCGGATATATTGTTGTGGCCCAAATTCATGATAAACAGATACGGCATTGTGCCGATCTCCTTCGGAATAGACCCCGACAGCAAATTGTACGAAAGATCAAGAAAAATCATGGAACCATTATTGTTGAAGGTAGGCTGCGTGTGGCCTCCATAAACTCTGGTAAAGTTACAGGGGTTCCTGCTGGAAATTCTACCCAACTGTTCCTGCCGGATCCCAGCAAATTCAAGTAAATTTCCCGACCCATGGCACTCTTTGCTTCCATCATTCTTGATATACATATACCTCTTTCCAGCAATGAAATTGACAGCTATTTTACCAGATTGTTTGAACAGCACCGGAGGGATAGTCCCCGTCAAGTGATTGGTATTAAGATCCAGCCATATCAAGCTTTGACAATCCCCGAACTCCGGTGGGATTCTTCCATAAAAGGAGTTATTACTGAGCTTGAGGATCGCAAGGCTCGAAAGTTTACCGAGCCAAGCAGGAATCTCACCAGTGAACCTATTGTTAGACAATGAAATCCAGTTCAACTTGGTACAGTTGCTTAGACCAGAAGGTATGGTCCCTGTCAGCACATTGAAATCAAGAATCAAAGTCTCAAGGGTCTGAATGTTACTCAGCTCTTGGGGGATTTCTCCATGGAGCTGGTTCAACCAAAGCCTCAAATCCTTGAGCTTGGAGAGAGCACCCAAGCTGGAGGGGATGGTGCCCGTGAGGTAATTGAAGCTCAAATGGAGAGAAACAAGCTGAGAACAATTATTGAGACTAGCAGGAATCGAACCAGTCAACATATTGTTCTGCAAATAAAGAACTTGTAACCTGTTTCTGGGATTTTCACACAGAGAAGCAGGGATTGATTCTGAGAAATTGTTGGAACTGAGATCTAAAGCCTCCAGGTTGAAGAGACTGGACAAAGACTCGGGCAAAGGACCAGAGAAGCGATTAAAAGCTAAACCGAGCTTCGTCAAGGAACTCATGTTCTTGAATATCTCAATGGGGAGTCCACCGGTGAAGTTGTTGGTAGATAAATCGAAAGACCCCAAGGAGGAACAAGAAGCAAAGCCAGTAGGAATCATACCAGAAAGATTGTTTGAAGAAAGATCCAGCTCCACAAGGCTTGAACAAGCTTCAGTTACATACAAAGGAACCTGTCCTTGAAATTTATTATCCGCCAAATAAAGATACTGCAATCCGGAAGATGGCAAAGCCGGAATCCGACCGGAGAACTGGTTGCTTGATAGATTCAAGAACTTTAAGTTCACGCACGAAGAAATTGTAGGGGCAATGTCGAAGGAAAACTTATTCTTTGAGATATCAAGGTGTTCCAAAGCTGTGCAGCCTCCAAATGAAGGAGTCCCCATTGAGAAATTGTTCCAAGAAACATCCAAAACCTTCAACTTCCTGCAATTCGAGACGTTTATTTCCCCGGTAACCTTGTTTCCTTTCAAGGCCAAGTGCTTTAACTCGTTACAACCACCATGAAGGATCCTAGGAACCACGTTTCCAGCAGAGAGCTTGTTGAAAGAAAGATCGAGAACTTCCAAACTCAGCTGCAAACCCCTGGATTCTTCACCAGGAGACACGAGGCTGTTGGTTGATAAATTGAGAAACTTCAAGTTCGAGCAAGAACCCAAGGCGGAGACGGTCGAAAGTGGACCGGACAAGGCGTTTTGAGACAGATCTAAAGTGGTTAACAGGGAGCTGCACTTGGATCCAGAAGGGAAGGAAATGTTGCCAGAGATGTTGGCTTTCAACAAAGAAAGGGATTCCAAGGTTTCCAGAGCTAGAAGAAAGGCAGCAACAAAGTGAAACTCGGTGCTCAAGGACGTGTAACTAAGCTCAATAGAAGAAACTTCGGAGCCTCGGCACGTTACACCATTGAAGCTACAAGGGTCTTGGTTAGGAACCCAGTTTTGAAGAATAGATTGGTCAGGCAAACTAGCTTTGAAGCTGAGCAGTAGCTGAGAATCCCTCTTGTTTGAAGAAGAAAAAGAAGCAACAACAACAGCTTCAAAGTAGATAAGAAAGGTGAGAATGAAGTGAGAAAAGAGAGGTCTCATGTTTGTGGGAAAAGCTAACTCCTTTCGAATAAAACTGTAAGAAAAAAAGAAAGAAAGAGAGGAGCATAAGGTATGAGCCCTGCGGTTAAATGATAGAGAAAGTTTGAGCTCTGGTTTCAGACAGAGGTTAAATGATAGAGAAAGCTTGAGCTCTGGTTTCAGACAGTGGTTAAATGATAGAGAAAGCTTGGGTCTTGATGTTTTCTACTGGCATAGAGCAATGGAGTTACTGAAATAAAGAGAGAAGAAATGAGAGCCATAAGAGGCAGTGAAGACGGTAAGAAGGGTATTTATCAGAGTGGGGGAGTGGAAACAGCTGTTGTGGCTCACATGCCATGTGACACTTCCTCTTCTCTCTCTCTCTCAAAATATTATTAGATAGATTCGGTTAATTAACAACATTCTTTTAATGGAATATGAAAAAATTTAATAAGATAAAATTTGATTTCAGAACGATCATCATATCTCAGTCATCATGTTAACATTCAGCTTAAACAACCGACAATTCTTTTAACGAAATATGATGAGTTTGTAATGTAATGAATAGTCGAATGACCATTTTGTAACTTTTAATGGTTGAGGGACTCAACAAAGAAACCCTTTATAATTAGGTGCTCATTTTGTAACTTTTAATAGTTGATGGACTCAACAAAGAAACCCTGTATAGTTTAATGATCATTTTATAACTTTTAATAGTCGATGTACTTAATAAAGTAATATATTATAGTAGGAGGACCGTTTGTGTACTTTACCCTTAATTTAATTAATAATTATAATGATATGTTTATATCTCTAGATTGGTGATTAAGTGCTTCAGATTAGGGGATGGCTTAATCCTTAATCTCCCACACAAATAAAAATATTTTTATTTCACTATCTTTTTTTATGTTTGTTTCTTTATATATCTAAACAAATCAGTTATGATTTGGGTAACTTTTATTAGTTTTATATTTTATTCATTATTAGCATATAGATTTATGTTGTGCTTATCAGAACATCATCAATTAATAAACACAAAATTTTGGAAAATAAATTATATTTTTTTTAAAAAAAAATTGAAAAATATTTTTTATGCTTAAATGATGTTGTGTAAATTAATTTACGATGTTTGATATTTTTAAATATTTATTATAAATATAAATATAATAAATAATATTGTTTATTATAAAAATGTAATAGTATTATTTTTGAAATATTATAATAGTTTACTCAATATTATTTATAATAAAAATATTATTAAATTATTTATACTAATGAAAGGTAAATTTTTCTCTTATAATTTTCTTTTAAAATGTCAAAAATAAAGAGAGTTCTCTTAATATTCTATTAAGAATAAATAAATATTTACATGGGTATAAATTTGTGCATCATAAAATAAAGAAAACACATATGTTATATCTAAAGATTTAGATTAAATTATAAAAGATTTACAGAAAAAATCAACATTTTCATAAAATAAATTAAATAAAACAAACGTAAATCGAATAAAAATATTTTTACATAAAAATATTTTTAAAGAATTTATCGATATATTTAAAGAATTATTTAATTTATTGACGGGGTTGGTTCAAGTGGTAACCAGCTTGATATCGCTTAAACAAGGTCTCAAGTAGGGATGACAGTATGACTCGAACCCGACGGGGAAACCCGAAACCCGGTCAAGTTCGGGTCGGGTTGGGTTGAATGATATCGGGTTCGGGTTTGGGGATTTTTTCGGGTCGGGTTCGGGTTCGGGGAAAGGTATCCCCGCCCCGCCCCGATTATATATATATATATATATATATATATATATATATATATATATATATATTTTATATTTTTTATATTAATTATATATATAATATTTTATATTTTTTATATTAATTATATATAAAATATTTTCGGGTTCGGGTTCGGGTTCGAGTTTGGGTATAATATTTCGGGTCGGGGTCGGGGACGGGGGAAAAAATCCCCGACGGGGCGCCCCGATAAAAAACCCGTCGGGGATCGGGTCGGGGTCGGGGATGGGGATTTATTTTGGGTTCAGGGACGGGGCGAGAAAAACCCGCCCCGAACCCGACCCGTTGCCATTCCTAGTCTCAAGTTCAAGTCCTTGTGTATGCAGAAAATCCTCGTTAGGAGACTCACCCACCAAAACTAGGTGTGTGACTCTGGTCGATTCAGGTTAGTCAAACCAAAACCTTAGAATCAGAGGGCAATAAAAAAATTATTGAAACTACTATTAATTAATTATCATTACCATTTCATTTAACAAAAAATAAAAACATTTCAAATTTTAATGAATGAAATTAGATAGTATATAGAATTCTCCTAACTCATTTTTTGGTACTTGGTTGGATTTTATATTATTTTTCATTAATTGTTTTTCTTTTTATTGGTGCTGATTTTTCTTCTAGGTTGTCTTTTTTCAATCATACTCAAGAGAATTATTGCCAACGTCAGTCAAATCAAAAGCTCATAATGTGCTGATAATCTCGCCAAAAGAATCAAAGAAACCGTGAACCCAGAATTGAATCTGGAAGAAGAAAAACAAAATATTAAACCCTGTTGTTAGCTGGCAAAAGCCTTGAATTTTTTTAACATAAAACGGCTAGTTTTATTAAAAATAAAAAATATTCAGAATTAAAATGATGATTTATAAGTATAACATAAACGTAAATAAAATTATAATTTCGATATTTTTCTATAACCAATGACACAAAAACTAACTACCTAGATAACATAATGATCAAATAAGGAAAATGTTAAAAAAACCTAATCAAAAAGCTCAAACAAAATAAAGATATGAACAAATCTGACTGCATCGACAAACGAACCACAAAAGGAGATGAAGCTACTGAAGGCCACCGACAAATCGCAAATCATAGTCAAACGACGTGAAAAAACTATTTATGAATGCAAAAAGAGTATCCAAATCAATTCGAGGGCTTCAAGCAGGAAATATCATCATGATAATAAATAAGCGCATTCTTGACCAGTCGTGGCGATGCCAAATCTAACCATGAGAAAAAAATAAATGAAAACAACGATAAAAAATCGTAGGCTACCAAAAAGTAGAGAAAAGCTTGCCACAAATGCAGAGATAAACATACCATAAATGTAGCAAAACATGTCACAAAAATATAATTATTTTTATTAAAAAACTAAAAAAAAAGAAAAAAGATAACTAACGGACGACAACCATCATCAAAACCGTTATCGTTATCGGTTAAACAAAATTTTAAAAAACCCTGAAAATTAAGAAAGAATCATATAATGTGTTAATTAATAGGTATAATGTTAAAATTAGTATTCAATATTTATTAAAATAGTTACTTTGATTTATTTTTTAGAGTATTTTGGATCCAATATTTTATTTTAAGATAAAAAGACCCCTAACATTTGATAGAATAGTTACTTTGGCCCTTATTTTTCCCTAGAGCATTATAGCCCTCAATGTTTCATTTTTAGAGAAAAGACCCCTAATTTGGGGTGTTTATCATTTATTAACTATATATTTCCATCTACAGAGGCGTCAGTGACGGATCCAAAAATATTTTTTTATGGTGGAAATATATGTACTAATAACAATTTTATTGTATGGACCGAGTACAAACAAAATTTCAGGGTAGACACCTTCAGTAAAATGGACAACTAACATAAAGAAAAACTTCAAGTTTTTTTTAATTAATCACTGGTATTTGATTTATTGACCGACTAATCCAGATCGAGTTTTATAGTGGTCCATTATGGGGCGACCATCCTAACTTAATTTATTCCATGTGAAAATGCCATGATTTGAATTTTTGCCCTTGATTAAAGAATATAGTATCTCATCCTATTATACCAAGTGATTGTTGGTAGGGACGGAGCCATGTAGGCCCTTGGGGCACCCAAAATTTTGTACCATTAAAAAATATAAGGATAAGTACCTATTTAGGTCTTTAAATTTTGATTTATTTTGATTTTGTTCTTTATTTTCTATTGTTAATTATACTTAAACTTTTGAATTGAACTAAAATCATGAATTTGTCCCTTAACCTTGTTTTATACATGTTTTACTCTTACTTTAACAAGTGTTTTTTTCATGGTTGAATTCATTATCTATCTCTAATTGATAGTTGTTTAAATTGTCACTGATTAATCGCATACTCACTATTATAGATTTTCGGTCTGATTTTCATAACATTTTTCGTATTTAAATTATGATAAGATCCATTATTAACATATTGTCATATTATATTATTATATTGATATTAATTATGATTATCATTATTTTTTACATTCATGATATATATATTGAATGATTTGATTATCTCTTTTAAGTTTTATATAATGCTATTTTATAAAATAAATAAATTTGATTTAAAAGAAATACTTTAAATTTAACTCTTTAAATTTTTATCAAATTAGATAACATATACATATGATTAGGGGTGAGTACGAGACCTAATTTCATATCTCAATCTTTTTCTTAGTATAAGTTTCCTTGATATGTTGTTAGGAATAAACTTATAAGAAATTAATTCGTTTTAATATTTGATTGCCAATTACAACATTTGAATTTTCTGTTTGTTGTAATCTCGTAAAAATGTGTCACCTTTGTCTATTTTCCATGATTTTAAGTACGGTTTCTTTCATGGTTGGTCGTTTGGTGCTGCATCTGATTATATAAATCCTTCCTCTTCCCCTTCCCCTTCCCGTTTGGTCTGAACGGAGAAACTTTTCCGGTGGATTTTGAGGCAGCAGCAAGAAGGGCTGAAGTTGACGACAGCCGATATAGTTGCGTACTTGCAGGTATCTTCTGTGATTTCCTTCTCTTAATTGTCCTGATGAATATGTTTGCATGTATGATATTATAAAACAAAGCTCTCTCGGGATAATGGAACCAATTGCCCAACCACTAATGATTGCATGCAGGGATGGACACGGGGTGCTGGGGTGCGGTTCACCTTGAATTTTCAAATGAGAAAATAACCTCAGTGACCAAAAATCCCAGATAATATACGATTTTGACCAACTTTTTTTGGATTTGCGAAAATGACCAACAAAATCGCAATGCGATCTCTAATTCGCATTGCGATCTCCACTATCGCAAATTCGCGTTGCATTTCGCGTTGCGATAGTTGAAAATCGCGTTGCGTTTTTTCATTTCGCGTTGCGATAGTTGAAAATCGCGTTGCGATTTTCCAAATTCGTTGTGATAGTTAAAAAAAAGATTTTGTTTCTTAAGAATTTTCTCTAAAAAGATAGTATCCGCGCGGACGTG